CTTGTAATCTGTCGCCATTCTTCAGCCCATTGGTTTTTTTTTCGAGGTCAACTGTCACCCGCACGTGCTTGCTTTGCAGAGCCCAAGCCCCAGCAGTTTGAGCCCGCAACCATCTCCGTTGAACAAAAACTCGTAGATGCAGGACAGCGCAGGTGAGATGTCCTGACAGATCAATGCAGCAAGGCAGCTTACCAGGTTCCCAGCGCAGTTTGACAAGGTGAAGCCGGGTATGCTCTTCCTGGCGGCACGCTGCGACCAGGTGAGTCCGAGAAAGATGGGTGGCCAGCTTAGTTCGGCATCACATCTCACCTTGATAGCCTCAAATCCCCCCAAGGCTCAATCGCAAAATGCGGCGCTTCATCTTCAACGCAGACCCAAGCATGGCTACCTTCCCAGACAGTCCTACGATCATCTGTGACGTCGTCTGCTGATAAGTGGAGTATAGTGGAGTCTGCATTGGCATGAACCCGCAAGGTCTGTGAATGGAAGATAGGCGACTTGCTCTCCGTGTGGTACTTTGCTTAGTCAAGTTGAGTTGCTGGATTGCCGGCTGCAAGTCTGTTAAGATCCTTCTTTGGTGTTGTTTTGGGTTCTGCCAGGTGGTGCCCAAGCTATGACGGCACCTCCTATCCTTACCTGCTGGGAGCTGAGCATGGCATTCTGCAATAGCCTTCCGACACTTTATGCCTTCCTTTCTCGATCTTGTAGAGCAGTGAGAAGAAGTTACAAAGAAGTGCTAGAAGAAGAAGAATAAGGGGAGAGAGAGGGCTGTGCTTTATCGCGCTGATGGCACCAGAATCCAGGCCTCCGCACGTCACCAGGCCCAAAGAGTGCATCAAGGTCTATCAGGCAAGACATTCTGCCAGCAAGATCCACAGTCAGTTGACTGGATGAGTTCCCCAAGTCAGGTGAACCTACCGCAGAGATGTGTATTCGCTGTTCCTGAAACGGCGGGCGCTATCCGGGATTTCATTAATCATCCATGATGACTTGCCATCGCAGCAGGACAAGCTTGTGGCCATTCCCTTCTTCGACTTGCACGAAGATCCCGCAGTCAAGTGCTCAAGTGCGTACTCGCCATTACTCACCTGCTTTCATAAGACGAGGGATTGGACCTCCAGGCATATCCGGAGCTCCGAGACATCCCGCAGCTGGTGTCCTTGGCAGCATATTATGTTGACAGTTACGGATGTGGCTGGGCCCTGCCTCCTACCACAAAGTGAATCTACTTGCGGTCATTCAACAGCATAAGCACTCACGTTTAAAGTCCATTTGGCTTTGCGGCGCTAAGCATTGTTAAGCCAGGTGAGCCGCTACGCGATATCTCTCTTCGAGCAGGGTTGACTCGGAGTGCAGCCCGCCTTGTTCGACTCCGCTTGGGGCACTCATTGCCAAGTTGGCAGTGATGTAGACATGCTGCCATGGCGAAGCAGGGCAGCGCAAAAACGCCTTCTTTTTCACAGGAATCAGGAATGTGCGGCAATCCAACCTATCTTGTTGCAAATGATCTCGATGCTTGAAACTTGACTTTTTTCGTGCGCCGGCCCAGAGTAGTACAGGCAGCATGGCCAAGACCTTGCACATGGTTGATCCCCTGCTGGGCTTTGAACCATTTCAACTCGACCCCTGAATCCAAAACTTCAGCCAATCAAAACATGCACTTTTTCCCCTTGGCATGAGCTTTCGAGCAGTAGCAGTAGCATACAGAGCAGTTGTATGCCGCACACAATCGCGCACAGCTTGGGTCTTAGCGACGCGCCATGTCGGGAATGTTGCGATTAAACCCTCCGAGGGTCCAAGTCGGGCTGGTTGCCCGATCACTGGAGCCATTCTTACTCAGCAGGACTTGCCTTCAAGCTGTTGGGTCTCACTTGCAGAGTGAATTAGATGGGCTGGTCTCTCAAAAACCTGCCCCGACAGGACAGAAGTTCAAAGAAACCTAAAAGAGCGGCTGCACACTGAAAGCCGCGCGTCGTGGAGCTGCGCGAGCTCCATAGCCCCAACAATTTGTTTGGCTGGCTGCCTCCGACGAAACCGGCTTGCACGGAACATCTGTGCAGCTGGAGCATGCCGGGGTGAGCTGCCAGGAGCCTTGGCCGCTGCCAGGCGTTCACTGTCCACTGTGCGGCTTGGCAAAAGCCAAGCTAAAGCGCCAGCGGAGGAAGATCTACCGCCTATGAGTGCGGATGGCGGAGGAGAGGAGGAGTTCCAGGAATACTGGGAATCTGGGTTGCTGCTGAGGAAGTTTGAGTTACTATAAATTGGGGAAATCGTATTAATCACTTTCTATACCCATTATAGTAACTTAATTTAAGTTCCTTAATAGCAACCCAGGAATGGTTTCAGAAGCCCCAGGCATGGCCTGAGGGTTGGATTGAAAGGCGCACGCATCCTCAAGTTTCAGTTCTCCCATACTGGTACAACGGGGAGACACAAGAAACGGTTTTTGAGCCGCCAAAATGCGCTGAGAGCCAAGGCTCCAAGCCCATACCAGAGACCCACGAGCCTCTGAAGCTCAGTCAGGTTGTGGCTGACTTGTCAGTGAAAGAGCTTCGACAGAAGATGCAAGAACCAGATGAGATGATTCGCCTTGGGCTTACTGATGAGGTGCTCGCCGAGCGCGCAGTCTGGGAGTATGAGACGTTTATTCCTCGAGTGCTTTCTTGGCACGACTACCAGTACAACACCTTCTGGTTTTTCATCGAGGATCGTGAGAACAGCAAGCGTGGCGGACGCGGATCTGGAAGCCAGGGCTTTTTTGCAGCCGACACGGAGAAGAACAAGAAGATGTTTGCTCATCATGGCTTTTTCGAGGCAGTCGCGAATGTAGCTAGCCAGCGGCTTGACCGGATTCATCCAATCAACCTCGTTTACCTCTTATGGACATTCACCCGGGCAGGAGTTCGGGCGTACAAATTCTTTAATCAGGCTGCAGACCATTTTTGCAACGGACTGCTTCCTTCGATGGACCGATGTGGTCTGGGTACTTTGGTGTGGTGTTATGCAAGACAAAGATTCCGGCATCACCGCCTCTTTGATGAAGCTGCCAAAGAGCTGCAGCGTACCGTGCGCGTGAGGTCCCTGGCACCCAGAAACTTCCAGAATACCATGATTGCTTTTCGCTGGTATGGGATGAGCCGCGACTCCCAGCGAATATTGATCGACAAACTTGCTGCCTGGCTACCCCGACTTCTAGATGACCACGATGAACGCAGACCCAAGCTGAGGCCGCAGCTCCTTGCTAAATCATGCTGGTGCAATGTTGTTAGTTAATTTCTCACGTTCGCCAGGCCAGATGTCATGTTCTCGTACACATGCAGAGATGGTGCCTCACACAGAGGATCAGGGAGGAAGTGCGCATGTGTTTGTTGACAAGTGTGCTTCACAAGGCTCCGTGGTTCCGGCAGACTCGTTTCGAATCAGCGGTCTATGCCTCAATGGCTGCTGTCAATCCACTGTCACGGTTCGTCCTCGCGAAGCATATAGCGCAATTTCTAAATCCAACTCCGTCTCTTTACACCACGCGTGGCACGTAAAGCAATTTTTCAGGTTTCAACAGAGAGGGTAAGTCCTGTCTCAGAATGTCTCAGAGCAGTACGATATCAAACAGCGTGCTGCATGGCCATCAGAAAAACCCAGGGCCTAGATAGCCTCCAGACGTGAAGTTTAGTCTGGGGAATCTGATTCGAATATGTTTTGCATTTGTTTTTGCATCCAACAATTTGTGTGTACTACAACGAGATGAAGCGGAACGTCATTGCGGAGTATGACAGGCTCATGCCAGTGATTCATCCCAAAACCCTAAATAGTAGTTTCCATTTTCTTTTCCATTATCCCTATCTAACCCCAATATACTATAGTAGTTTCCATTTTCTTTTCCATTATCCGTATCTAACCCCAATCTACTATAGTAGTTTCCATTTTCTTTTCCATTATCACAATATGACCCCAATACATCCCCTACATAACCCCTATATAAACCCTATAACCCCTATAGTTTCCATTTTCTTTTCCATTATCCCAATATGACCCCAATCTACTAGGAGGTTCTACGTGTAAGGCCTTGGCAAAGCTTCCTGGGACAGGCTGCCTTGATGGGTCATATTGATACAGTAAGTTACAAGGTTCCTGAAAATAACTTTTAATTTCTGTTACCTAGAATCCTAATATTTAGCTGAAATTATAATTTCTACTGGGGTTCCAAATCCCTTAGAGTAAGTCTTGGAGCTCAGGACGCCAATGCTCTAAATCTGTAGACTACTCTTGCTGTGAGATGAGGTGCGGAGTCAGTATGAGAAATGTCGAAGCCCGACTAGTGTGGCAGGGTCTGAATTGTGCGCGGCTTGGCCAAAATTACTCAGTATCCCCCAGTACGTTTGGGGGTGTGCTGGTTTGTGCGATGTTGGAACGGACTGTATTTTGGTGGTGAGCTTATGGATGAATATGAAATTCAAGTTTGAATCCTTTGACCGGAGCTACCGAGCTCTGAAACACTAGTATTTAATTTAATCTGAAACTACAATCCAAATTTGTTTAAAGTGATCTCACCCTCGCATGTGAACGAGAAATAGGGACCTTGTGTTTGTTGGGGGGTGGGTGCCAACCCCAAAAAGGAGCGGGGGGGGGGGATGGGGGGGGGCGGGTCGGGCCAACTAATTGGGACCCCACATTGACATCAAACGGCAAGCAATAATCGCAAGAAAAATGGAGAGTTAATATTAATAGGAATAATAACAACAATAGTAATAATGTTTACTTCGCATTAATAAATAACCACCCCACCCCCCCCTTGATTGATCAATCTCGATTTTCAGGGCCCCCGAAATAATAATGCCGAAAATCCTGATGACGAAGTAGTTTTAGTTCCAGTATGAATATGAGTAAGAGTAATATGA